CCTTTTCTGCCCTTGCACTTCAGTCCAATCAGCCACTTTCAAGTGCGCCTAGAACTTCACAATTTTACCACATGTTGACCACTTTTTAACAAATTTTGCAATTAAGTCCCTGGATCACCAAAAGTCGCTAATTTAGCCTATAGATATAAAATCATAAACTAATTGACCCTAAACTAAAGTATAAAGAGGTAAATTATGTGTCTAAAAACATGCAGAGACACTCATCAGTATTCGACTGACATATGATACTTGTATACATTGTTTTACTGCGTACTAATCATCTACCTACTTTGAAGGGATAAGAACCTATGATCATCAATAATGGAGAAACTATAGACAACGCATTATCATTGCTAAAATTGGGGATGTGATGATTGTCCTAAAATTGGGGATTATTCTTGACTGTTACTGACCATATTACTTACGCATTGATGTAAATATATATATATATATATATATATATATATATATATATATGTAATTATCATCAATCAATGTAGTTTAGGGTTATTCTTTCCTCTTTTACCGGCTGATTTCCTGAGACAGAGATCAACCACGTGTCATTTTTTTTCCCTGAAGTGTTTTACAGGCAGGAAAATTTTTTAATGAGATGTCACTTGTCCTTCTTGTATGCTACTTTAAGTAAGTAAAAGGGACTAAGTTCTTTCCTGTGCATCATAGGAATATATTGAAAAAATAGGATACAAATTGCCTCGATTTGTAGCATGACATATATTTTTTAAAAAAATTTACCCTAAAATAACTTATATTTAAGAACAGAGGGAGTAAAGAATAAACAAAACCAATAATAATAATCAAAACTATACAACTTTAGATTTTACATAATTTCTAAATTTTTAAAGATGATGAATAGTAAAAAGTAATAAGATAGAAATATTGAGAGAGATCAAATATATTCATAATGGTTAATATACAAAATGTGCAAAACGTAATCTAAAACGTGAATATGAAAAGGGGTTGTATGAAAAATACACTTATGAGTTACTCCATTACTGCAAAGCCACAAAAAATAAATTTATTTGATAAAAAGACTAAATAAAGAAAAAAGTTTCAAACATGAAAATATTGCATAAAGAGATTTTCAAACTAGTGGAGATTATCACTCATCGACTTCATCAAGTTTGGTTGCTCCGATAGCATTGCATGATTCAGTGGATGACGCCAACAATAGTGAATATTATAACTTTCTTGCTGGTTGATGGGAGGCTATCTATGCATGTTTTAATATACAAAAGTTGCCTCTTAATACTTAGGTTTTACGTCAATTTAGTAAGTATTTTATATTTCTAAAGTAATTTTGTGACTTTTGGTGATCAAAGAACTTAATTGTAAAATCTAAAAAGTTGTGGTCAAATGGAGCAAAATGGTGAAGATCTGGGCATAATTTAAAATGGCTCGATTGGGCTGATGGTGCAAAAAGTGGTGGCAGAAGAATCCGGGTGAAAGAGAAGCTGAAGAATGAAGAATTCAACCCAACCTTCATGGCTAAAGAAGAGAAGGCATTGAGGTGAAATGATGTTGTTGTCATTCAAGGGGATGGTGTGCCCTAAGCTAATTTGACCAACCAAACAACCCCCCCCCAAAAAGGTGAGTATTGACAAGGGAGAAAGTAGGAGATCAACTTCACTAAACAAGCTTACCTCCTCCAACCTCTATAAAAGTCAGAAGAAGCAGCAACAGTAAGCATTGGAGTGAAAAAGGAAGAAAGTAGAGTTAGCTCTGCAGTCTCGGTTAGGTTAGAAATAGAGCATCGGTAAGGAAGCAGACTCAGAGGTGCCATGTGGGGAAGTTAGAAGCTGACCTACCGAAGTCATGAGAACTGAACCACGCTTCCTGACTTTGTCTTTCCCTGTTTTCTCTCCTTTCTAAGTGTAAACATATTGAGGACTTGTTTGGACAACATTTTGTTTTAGTTTTTGATTTGAGTTTGAGATGTGATTTAAAATATGGTTTGAGATAAAATTTAAAAAGTTGTTTGCGTAATATTTTAAATAAATTAATAATATTTTTTAGACCACCAACGGACCACCTCCACCACCGCCGCCGCTGCCGGACCACTTGCCGGCCGGATTCCAGCCAAATTTTGACAAAATGGCCGGAATCCGGTCTGCCGGTCATCGGCCGGTGGCGGTCCGTGGTGGTGGGCGGCCCGGTGGCGGCGGGTGGTGGTGGAGGTGGTCCGGTGGTGGTGGATGAAAATTGTGTAAAAATAATTTTTAAAATATTTTTTAAAAGGTAAATTAAAAAGTTGTTTAGATAATATTGGAATTTGTGTTTGAGAGGTGTTTTAAGATGTAAAATGAGACAAAAATACAAAATAAATATTGGCCAAACAAGCCCTGAAACTTTTGTACTTCATTGCTTTTGTGTTTAAATTTTCCAGGATGTGTAGTTAAACTCTTTTCTAGGGTCTAATCTACATACTCTATATAATTATGTTTTTATTTAGCTCTCGGATAATATTTGTGTGCCTAGTCTTAGAGTTTATATTAATCTCTTAGTTGAACTAGCTGCTTAATTAATTGTGCTTGCATGATAGGGAATCCCTGGTGGGTAAACCTAACTTAGAATGTCTAAGATTAGCCGGTGACTAGGGGTAATAGCCCAAGATTTCAAACAATAATGGAAGTTAGTTGCTTGACACGAGGCAATCATAAGGGCTTAAAAACTTAATGGTTTAGTAGTATTCTGGAGTCAACAACGGAAGTTAGTGGGCTTGTTGCTACTAAGACTCTGTCTGAAACAATCGTAAGTGACGTTACAGTGTATAAGTGCCTGATTGAACACAATTTCATACCACAAAGAGAGAAATAAAATCAAAGCATTGCATATAGAGTAGAGAGGAGGACGACCCCAGGTTAGCCAAGTCATAAACTCTCTTGTCCAAGCTACATTCTGTTCATTGTCTACAACTTTTCCATTCGAACCCAATTTTCTTTGGTATTTCCCATCTCTGATCGACTCTTCTATCACTTACTACAAGTTTACGTAGGTTTTATTTTGGTGGATTTGACACCATCACTTGTCCTAACAAAACATGCTTGTTCCTCATAGAATATTGTTTGTGGTTTCCTTTCGAGATTCTGAAATAATATATATTGATATATATATATATATATACATATATATATATATGTATCTATGTATGTTGGATATATTATTTGAGGGTTTCATCTAGAATTCGTGATATACTTTAAACTCGTATGTGATGCATTCATCAATTGAATTATACTGTGAAATATATTTGAATAGGTTGTCTCTAGTGAAAACAAGTAGTTTTTTTTTTAAAAAAAGTAATTATTATAGCCAATTATGACTGTAATATAATAATATTTGTTCATTAATGGTGGTTGAATGATTTTCAACATAAATAATAAAACTATTTTATTTGAGAAGGAAAAGACAATTACTCATGTTTCATTTAATTTCATCATACATCATAAACAAATAGATGCTTGAGATAGTATAGTTAATGTATGAGTAATTGATACTATCTTAAACATTATGTTTCTTCTAACTTAACTACATAAGTTTTTTTTTTTCCATATTGAAACGGTGTTCATTCTCGATAATAGTAATTAATTCTTTTATTATATTACATGTATTTCAAAAGGTACTGAACAATTACTCAAAAGATTCAAAGTTATTTTATACCACGACGACTAATTACGTTATTTTTGCACAATAGTATACTCCATCATTTTGAAATGAAGGTCGTCTTAGCCTCATAGGTTTGGAAAGATGCTTTGAAATGTAAGTTATTTTAGGATTTCAAAATAAAATTTTCTCAACTTTTCAAATATACTCTCTACAAATTGAGATAATTCTTTTTTGTTCAGTATTTTTAAAAATTTCAATACACTTAATGCGAAGTGTAAAACAAATTTGATATAATAATTATATTTTTAATTTATGTGTAAAGTTGCATATGCTTTAAAACGGAAGGAAATGGAATTCTTCTAGTGTAACCTTACATGCAGTGTTGATCAAATTCTGTACCTTGACTTTGAAAGTACGGTCCATCTTTTGCTTTCATTATAAGCAAATTTTTCAACGTCTTCCAAAGAGCATCAATGAACGTGTTAACCACTCTATAATTCAATGTTGCTACTCCGACAATTAATATCGCAAATCGAGGGGTACTCTAAGCCTTATGACAAAGTCAGCGTCAATGAAGAGAACTTAATTGATTGGATCAACTTTCAGTTTTATAAGAAGAATTTTCAACTTGCTAATTAATGAAGGCAACTTGCAGTTTATTGAGGTTGAATTTAACGAGATTTCCCTTAAAATGCCGCCATCTCACATGGTTTACAAGATGATGATGCCTGGATGTCAAAAACGCATCGTTCCAACATCGGTCGTCTTCGTCTGTCTAAAATTTTTCCGTACGCAAATAGTTTTATTGTATGTATATATTTCACCGACTTTCTGTTGTAGCTGTAAAATAGAAAATATAATAAAATGCACGAGTTTATTTGTTTATTACAGATGTAGTAAGCCTTGAACAAGAAAAAACTTTGATGACCTTAACAAAAACAGATTAATTCGAATCTCGCTCACTGTAAACTACAGCAGCCTGTCCTCCCCATAAAGCACACAAGAGCTTCCAGCTGTGTTTGGTCCTCTCTGTACTGTTTTATTAACATCGATGAAAGTTATATACATTATTTTTCTTTAAATTAACTTAACATATTATCGTATATTCTAAACTAGTACATCACTTGCTTCATCTAGAACAAACCTCCCAGGGGAGAAAAACAAAAAAAAAACCAAGGAAAGTCAATGGGAAGGCCTTTGAAACACTAATTAGACTAATATCCCACTGGAATAATGTATGTTATTTAGCCTTTGTGAAACACAAAGGACAACAATATCATAATCAATCCTTGTTATAAGGCATGTACAATTGTAAATACATGCATAATTAAAGCTTTCAGTCATGAAGTTAAAACTTCATAAAAAATAATAATAATAATAATACTGTAATAACAATAATGATCGGTTTTATACATAAGATGAACACTTCTGCTGACTCCTATAAATAGCGCACACCACATAGGCCAGGTTGTGAAGAAAACCAAACCAGAAATTCTAGAGCTTGAAGAAGATGGCTGCTAATAATACACATTTTGTTATATTCCCTTTCATGGCTAAAGGCCACACCATTCCCCTTCTCTACTTCGCTAATCTCCTCTCTCAGCGCCATCTACACGTGACGGTTGTCACTACTCAAGCAAACTCTGCATCCATCAAATCCATCCTCAATGATCCTTCGATTTCCGTCGCTGAAATCGATTTTCCGACCAACATCGATGGCGTCCCGCCTGGTGTTGAAAGTACCGATCAACTGCCGTCCATGTCGTTGTATTTCAATTTCATCAGCGCGACGAAACTCTTGCGACCCCAATTCGAGAAGATGCTACAGGATATTAAGCCCCCGGTGAGCTGTATCGTGTCAGATGCGTTTCTCGGGTGGACACAAGATGTTGCAGCTGAGCTTGGGATACCAAGAATCGGTTTCTACGGGATGAGTTGCTATGCCATGACCATGTACACCATTCTCGGCCTAAAGAAGCCACATGCGTTGACAACTTCCGCAGATGAGCCATTTTCAGTTCCTGATTTCCCAAAGTTGACTTTCACAAGGAGTGATTTTGATCCACCTTTCGATGAAATTGATCCAAAAGGTCCTTGGGTTGATTTCATCATCGAGCAGAATATTGCGCTGGCGCAGAGTTATGGAATGATTGTCAACGGCTTTTATGATCTTGAAGCAGAGTATACGGATTACTGGAATCGATGTTTTGCGCCTAAAGCTTGGTGTGTTGGCCCGTTATGTCTGGGCAAGCCAAAACAATTATGTGATGATGATCATCAGGAGGGATTAAGATCTGATCACAAGAAGCTTCAGCCAAACTGGAGGTTGTGGCTTGATCGTAAGCTGGAAACAGGGGTGCCGGTTTTGTATGTTGCGTTTGGTACTCAAGCAGATTTATCAACAGAGCAACTCATTGAAATGGCTGAAGGTCTTGAAAAGTCCAACGTGAGTTTCTTGTGGGTGTTGAGACCAAATACCATCAAATTATTGGGAGGGCACTTTGAAGAGATGGAAGTGAATGGTAAAGGGATGATTGTGGGAGAGTGGGTTGACCAAATGGAGATACTTGCGCACCAGAGCATTAAAGGGTTCTTGAGTCACTGTGGATGGAATTCGGTGACAGAAAGTGTATGCGCTAAAGTGCCGATTTTGGCCATGCCTTTCTTGGCGGAGCAACATCTGAATGCGAGGTTTGTGGTGGAGGAGATCGGTGTAGGAATCAGAGTTTGGCCGTGTAATGGATCGGTTAGGGGATTCGTGAAATCAGATGAAGTCGAGAAGCGAGTGAGAGAGCTTATGGAAGGTGCAAAAGGGGAAGAAGTAAGGAAGAAGATGGAGAAATTTGGAGAAGCTGCTTGTGCTGCTATGCGAGAAGGTGGTTCGTCCTGGAGTAAATTAGATCAAATTATCCATGATGTAAGTAATTATCAACCATCTTAATTTGGAAAAACGTTAAGGCAATTAGAAGTGTTTGTGTGTTTTTCATTCCAGAACTGCAGAGAAAATGTATATATTTGTTGTTTTATGAAGATTTGTCCAATAAAATGAAGCTGAATTTTACCAAAAGATAAACATTCCGAAGAGCGAGACTTTCCGATCTAAGATCAGGTAATTCGAGTTCTCTTTGTTGGATCTAAAACAATGTTGATAGGCACAGATGGAAGCCTAGAGTTTGGCACTCATTGTAGGGTGAAATACTTCACAGAATTTCTGTGTTTCTGAACTGTTCTGCATTAATTTTTGCCTGCCAAATGTAAGACGATTTGGTATCCCGTGTTAGCTACACGGTACCCACATTCATGAGTTCTAATAGCAGAAAGGAGTCACCTCTTTTCTCTGATCAATACATAAGCAAACTATACAGTACAAGCTAGGAATACAAGGAAAGAAACTTCCAAAGATTTTTCAGGCATTCTTTCATCCTCAAACGTGTAAGCAACAACAACATTATTCAATCATCTGCAACAATGTTTAGAAAACTATTCAAGGAAGCATAGGAAGATCCTCCTTCAGTAAGAGCCAACCTACTCTTCTCTTTCATTTCCTTGGCTTTCTTCCTCACTTCACTCTCATGATCCATCAGCTTTTTTAACCCATTTTCAATCACATCTGCACTCACAATCTCAACACCTTCAGTTCTCATGACTTCTTTCCTGTAATCCATCTTGATTTCGACAGCCAAGCCCGAATCCTTCACCAGTAAGAACGCATTCACTTGCTGCTCAGCATAGAGTGGCCAAACTGCCATTGGCACCCCATTACAAACACTTTCAAGCACTGAGTTCCAACCACAATGTGTAACAAAACCTCCCACTGCTGGATGACATAAAATTGCAGCTTGTGGTGCCCATCCAATCACTTTTCCCACCTCTGCGGTCCTCTCCAAGAATCCTTCCGGCAATACTTCTCCCGGGTTCTCGTAATCACTCGGTGGCTCATATCTACCTGTTGGAAATGAAATCAAACGTTAAATTCAACACCACCCTTTTACATAACCATAAAAATGGTGAAACAATCATCCGACGATATATTTGACATAGATAGAAGACGGAATCACGCATAATTGTACATCAAAGACCTAATGAACGAGTTGATAATGTTAAAATTTCAGGCGGTGAATGATTTCACTTGATAATTTAGTAAGTAAACGAAGAATTATTAACTTAATAAGCTAAATTGCATGAAGCACTTTTAACTAGTAATTTACCTTTAGGTTGAGGCTTTCTTAATGACCAAATGAACCGGCAACCGGTATTTTCCAAGGCCCGAGCAATCTCCTTCACTTGATCCTCAGAAAAGGATCCCATGCTCCCAAAACAGAGGAATACAACAGACGATTCCGGCTGGCGATCGAGCCATTTCAAAAGTGCCTCACTTTTCGGATCGGTGACTACTGCATCCATCTTGACAATCGGACCGATTGCGTAGATCGGAGGAACGGTCGGATCATCGGACAAAGCCTTGAGCGCGTGAGATTCCATCTCTTTGAATGTGTTGAGTAATATCCCCTTCGCTTCCCTGAAACGTTTGGCCTGATCGAGAAAAGCCTTGCATCCGCCGTTGTCATCATAGAGGATAGACGGCAAAAGTTTAGCCGGAACGGGATCGGAGTAAGTTGGGATGGCCACCTTCTCGTCGGAATCCTTGTATTTGGACACGTCAACGCTGGAATCATCTCTTAAACTCTGTAAACAGAGCATAAGCCCGATCATAGCTGCCCCGGACGGGAAGAATATATACGGAGGGATCCGGAATTCATTAGCGACATCAATCATTGAAGTGCAGAACATGTCAATGATAATCCCGGCGACCCGAGTCGATGATCCGGATCCGGTTTTCTCAGTAAGAATTTCCCTGACATGGGCTCGGTGCATCTCGATTAACCGGAAGAAAAACAAGAAAGGAGAAGACCCTTGAATCGCGGAAGTAGAAGGATCATACTCCCCTTTTCGGAGCTCCGCAAAGGTGATCCGGGGATGGGGAGATTCAGACATGGGTTTGGTATCGGAAGGCAATTTCATGACCAGAATCGAGATTGACAAATTCTGGTTCTGATGGATGAGGAATTTTGATACTTCGATTGCAGAGAAAATGTGGCCGACTCCCGGTGATGGGATGAACACCAGCTCCAGTTTCTTCCTCTCCGCCATTTCCAAATTGCTGTTGATTCTTTTTGGAGCCCAAAATAAATCGGAGAAATTAAAAAATCAACAGAACAAATATTCTGGGTTTTGTTTTGTTTTGTTTTCTTTCAGTGATCGTAGTATTTGATTTCAAACGGACAGTTCTACATAGCTTCCCTGACTTCCGGGGTTTTTATCTTTATAGTACACGTCATATACCCCCCAAGTACGAGATTTATTCTATGGCTTAAAAACTACGGTCCAGGGTCAACGTCAGCGTTTACTAGTTATATATCTCTCTTTTTCTTTTTCACTTTTGAGTTTGGGGTCTTAATTTTATTCTATTTTTTAATAGAAAATTCATAATTAGAGAGTTCCGAAAATGGTATTAGAGACTGTTCAATTAGAGAGTGCCAGTTACAAAATTCAACGCAAATATGAAAGTGCCTAAATTTAAATGGCAATTTTTGAAAGTCAGTGATTCGAAGCTTCTAAATCATGAAAGTGCCACACCTAGTCACATCTGTACACAGTCGTCCTTTTCGTGGTAAATGGTCGTCCAAAATATGGTCAACTTACAATTTACTTAATTTTGTTATAGTTTCCCATCAATTTTAACGGTATAATCTTATCAGTTGCATGATATAAAGGTATATACCATAATACCAATAATTTACTTGTCCATACCGTTTTTTCGAATTTGAAAACTTCTCATAAGAGGAGAAATTACTAGAAATAAAAGTGAAGATAGCTTCTATCACATGTAGACTTCTATCACATGACCCCAACCAACAATTTTTTGCAAATCATTTTTTTTACTAGAAATAAAAGATGAAATGATGAAAATGTTTTATATTCTTCAATCTTCAAAATATGAAATGTTCCAAAGCATATTACCGATGTCGCGAGAGTGAAATATGCACATCAAGTACAGATATAAACAAATTAAAATTTAAGTAATTTCCAGATGGGTTAAGTAAAGCAGTCAACACGATTTTTTAAAAATATATATTGCACAGCTTAAATTCTTCTAGAAGTGAAGATAGCTTAAATTCTTCTATTACATGTAGACTTTGAAGTCTTGGAAAGCAAGAGAAGAATTGAACTAGTACGAGTCTACGGGAAATAAAAATCACACGAAAGTTGTGATCGACTCAATACCCAGCTGTCTTTCTTTCAAGAACTACTTTGGGCCTTCTATGTTCAACATTCTAGACTCAAAAAAATAAATAATTAATTAAAGTTGTTAGGCCAGTATATGATGCTGGGATGTTACAAACGATATTAGAGCGGATCCTGGTCTAGGAGCTAAGTGCTACGTGCGGACACACCTCTGAGCCCACTGACAGGACAAGTGCAAAGATAACTCTTAGCCTGCAGACGGGACAAGTGCGAACCATGGGAGACACCTCTAGGGTCCTATTCCGGGGGAAGACTGGGCCACATTCTTGTTTGTTGGGCTTTGCAAGGACGCAAAGATCCAAAGGGGTATCTCACATTGCTACCTGACAAGACGAATGACATGTATATAAGTCTCAACCTCATAAACTACTAACAACTTGGGTTAACCATTTTGGGCTAGCGTGGATGAAAGCCTGAAAGTTGTTGGGACAGTATATGAGATTGGGATGTTACAAATGGTATCAGAGCGGACCCTGGTCTAGGAGCTACCACACCTCTGAGCCCCCTGACGAGACAAGTACAGAGACACCTCTGAGCTTGCAGACGCGACAAGTGCGAACTATGGGAGACACCTCTAGGGTCCTATTCCTAGGGAAGACTGGGCCACATTCTTACTTGTTGGGATTTGCGAGGACACAAAAATCCAAAGGGGTGGGCTGTAATATCCTGTCCCACATTGCTACCTGATAAAGTGAATAATCTGTATATAAGTCTCAACCTCATAAACTACTAACAACTTGGGTTAACCATTTTGGGCTAGCGAGAACGAAAGCCTAAAAGTTGTTGGGCCAGTATATGAGGCTGGGATGTTACATAAATCATGGCTCTGTTTCATCATTCTGACTATGTATCTTCGTTGAGTTTTTTTTTATATATATATTTACCAACTAGCCAACGCAGTAAAAAGTTGATGAATATTTGTACACTTTAATTAGTTTAAGGATTTTTGTTAATTTTGAATAGTTTTATATGTATATTGTGATCGTATAATTTTTCATCCAAAAGTGAAAGATTAATGATAACAAAAACAAAGTTGCTCCTGAATTAGTAATGTTACAATAATATAGTTACCATATTAAATTGCTCCAGTAGTAGTATTATAGCAAAATATTTAATGAAATCTTATGAATTAATTCTTCCCATTCCCTGAAGTGAGTGGGCAGTGAATTAGTTCGAGCCAAATTGTAGACATGTTAAAATTTTGACATGGTCCATTTCTTGAAATAAATGTGCCGATCATTCAATGATAGTGGTGGTTCTAACAAATACACTATTAATCACCTGAAGTTGGAAAAATAGTAAAAACACTATTATCGATCTAAAGTTGAAAAATAGTATATTGCAAACGCTATCATTGGAGCATAGAAAATCGTTGGATTCACATATTCCGTATAATCATTGGGTTCACATGTTCAATATACCCACAATTATCTTATTAATATCTTCATTAGCCATGTCGACAATGAATTAAAAAATCATAATTTGATCTTTGTCAAACACCCTAAAGATGATTTAAAAATTTACAAATGAAAATGTCCAATATGTCAAACACTCTAAAGGTGTTGCAATCTTTTAGTCACTATAGTAGTGATACTATTTAATTGACATTTTCTATCTACATGTTTAGAAGAATAAAATCTAAATTTGTTAATGGCAAAAGTATGCCTGACACAGTGCGACTCATATTATCTCTTTCGGTATTATAGATTTTATTTATTGCCCTAAATATGATGTTAGTAAGTGATGAATACAAAATCAATCTAAATGCTCCAATAGATCATATGACAATGAATTGTTTTGTAAAGTTAGATGAAAACTTCTATAGAGTATAATTACTCTGGAGAGTGAAAATAAATATATGTAAAAGGGAAAATATAGTAGATTCATCATTGCCTTTGGAGGAACAACTGTAAAACTTTGCTTATAAAAGAGCAAAAGAATGTTCTCCAAGATGTCAAGGAAGGATATAAATTGCTTTACCAACACAATTATTTTGAATTTGAAAAAAAAAATCATTGTCGTCTCCAGCAGAGCAGCGATACACTTTGTTTTTAAAAAAGTAAGAGCACTAAGATAGAATGAAAATACTCATGTAGAGTATCATTATCTCAATAAAATTATATGTGTGCTCCAGAGGAGCAAGAACACTTGTAGTAGAATGGAAATAACTGAATAACAAATACTCTTATAGAGTAAATAATCTAACGCTCATGTGAAGCAAAATTGATATGGTATAGTTGAATAATTAATTCATTGTTTTCTCTAGAAGAGAAATTCTAAAATTTGGCATAACTACTTAAGCCATTCAGGTTTCAAGAGGAAACAAGAAAGTTTATGTGCTTTAAATTTGGAGAATCAAGAGCTTCTTCCAACAAATTAGAGTATCAATCGATGTATCAATGAGATAGCCACATGTATTGTTCTTGCTAACTTGCAACTTGAAGTTTGCAGAAACATAATTATGGAGTTAATTTGATAATGTGACGATACTCATGTTCTACTCTTATAAGAATTTTTTGATTTGATAGTTGTGGTAAGTGTATGACTCAATACCAGAATGATAGAAGTTGAACATTGAGTGCCTATACGAGTAACAATGAAATGGTCTATTAGATATGTTTATTATATGTGTTCAATCAAAGTAATTACATCATGTATAATTGAGTAGGGCTGCTAATTCGGGCGGTTCGGTGCGGTTCGGGTGAATTCGGTTCGGGTTAATCATATTTTTTTTCTTCACAAGACCCGCTCGAAACCGAACCGAAAATTACATTACCCCGAACCGAACCGAACCGGATAAACAATCGAGTTTTCGGTTCAGAGGCCTATTAAACCGACACTAACACAACAACCCCGAAACGTGAATTTGACAACCAAAAACTCTAAAAGCATCTTCTTAGAAGGATATGAAAACAGTCCGAAATAATTAAATCTATATATTGTAATCCAAAACAACATAGCAAATTCACATTTAGCACAAAAACTCAAGGCTTGAATCGAATTTCTATTATATTTACCCAAATACAAAGAACATCTTGGCCTATTTTCTGAAAAAAAAATCATAGATCTGGATTGAGATTCAATCTGTTAGTCGAATAAAAGGACAAATAAAGGAAGAGGAATAATGGTTGTGATGAGTTGATAAAAAGAGGAGGCTAAGAAGCTTGTGGTGGTGATGTTACTGGCAAATATGGAGGGAGCTCGAATGATGCAGAATTAAGCAGGGGAAGAGGGATACGGTTGAAACTGGCGGAGGACAAAGGTGGTGAAATTGAGGCTGGGGAGGTTGTTGTTGGTGGTGGCGGAAGATGGAATCGATCAGCAACAAAATATTGACATGAAATTCGCTTATGCTGCAGCAGTTAATCAAATGAATGACAATGACGATCATGAAATGAAAGTCTGTTGTGGATACAGACATTAAACTTATTGGCTATAATACATGAAAAAATGCAATACATACTTATTGATGTGCGTTGTGCACACACTTTGAATTGTTTTAAGTAATAAGAATTTTGAAAAGTAATACACCGGCTAAATGTTGTTGGGTGATTGTACAAACGATTAATGAGAAACCTACTTATTGTAAAAGTTTTTCCAAAGTCCAGATGTTAATAATTTAGAGATAAATTCTCTTGTGGTGGATGAAAATATTCATTCTTCCGTTATTTGCGAAATCTTGCAGCAAATAAAGAAATAAAATGTGTCTAGTGAATATAGCAATTCGTTGAAACAATACTTGATATTTGTCATTTGAAAATGGCGTTTATATGAAATCCTTAAAGGATTCAATAAGGGACATGGTTCCGATTCACAAGAGATTAATCCGAAAGACTTGCGCAAGTTAGAGTGTTTTCATGTGTCTAAACAACTATTTAAGTGCCTAATATTTGGAATATTTTGGTTGCTGCAATTTATGCACTTGTCTATGTTTTTGTTTTATTCGTATATGTTATGTTTGTCTGTAAGGTGATTATTTACTTTTGTATGTACTTTTATGATCATATTAATTTACAAAACATGGGTTTTCAGAATTATATGTGTGTTCGCTATTTTGT